AATGCTCGTTTTTTTTTTTTAATTCTTTCAAAAATAAAATATACTTTTCTCAAACGTTATTTTTGGGAAATTAACTGATATGAAGTTGAATTCATCTGAACTGAAACAAATATTAGTTTCATTTAGTTTAGAATATATCAAAAAAGTATTTTTTTAAAAACGGAGTTACTGATTCTTTGACATGTTGAGTGATTGATTGACAGCCTGTTGCTTGGGAAATTTAAGTAAGAGGCACAATGAAAATAAGTTACTTGACGAATTCAAAGTAAACAACGTTTTTATGCATTTTCTTCATTGCCTAGGAATCTTAAACATTTATGAAAATATATTAAATACTTTAATATTTTATTGAATTTAGCTACTTTGGCTTTAGAGCCTTATTTTTAGCTACTTTGGTTTTATGGCTTTAATTTTAAATACTTTGGCTTCATGGCAAAAATTTTAGCTACTTTGGCTTTATAGAGTTATTTTTAGCTAAATTGGTTTTATAGCCTTAATTTTAGCTACTTTCGCTTTATGGCCTTAATTTTAGCTAATTTGGCTTCATAATTTTATCTATTTTGGCTTTAATTTTAACTACTTTGGCTTTATGGCCTTAATTTTACCTACTTTGGCTTCATAGCCTTAATTTTAGCTAATTTGGCTTTATAGCCTTAATTTTAGCTTATTTGGCTTCATAACCTTAATTTTAGCTATTTTGGCTTTAATTTTAACTACTTTGGCTTTATAGCCTTAATTGTAGCTAATTTGGTTTTATGGCCTTAATTTTAGCTACTTTGGCTTCATGGCTTTAATTTTAACTACTTTGGCTTTATGGCCTTAATTTTAGCTACTTTGGCTTTATGGCCTTAATTTTAGCTACTTTGTTGAGGCTATGTTCGAAAGTTATTTACAAATTTTAAAATTTATTATAGATAATGCTTTTATTTTCTAACAATATCTTATATGGACGTCTGTAATTACAAAACCCGTCACGTTTACACCCACCCACTCACCCAATCACAATTCTTTCTAAAATACAGGCGGTTAATGAATTGCAGTGAGATTTTATATTTATGGTTTTAAAATTAAGTTTTAATCTAATAACAATATCACTGGACCATTTCAAATTAATACAGAATTTTAAAAGTTTATAAATTATTGTAATTAGAATTTTTAAAAATTAAAACAATTCTTTTAAAAATCATTATTCATCGAAAAAATTGTCCTTAAGAAAATAGAATCCATAATATATTTTATTCAGTAAAACAAAGGCTTTTCTAATTAAAAAAATATCTTAGTTTCTTTTATTTTTACTTATTTTCTGCAACTGGGTTTACATTTTGAAAATCTTTATTAACAAAAATTTAGAATGTTAATTTAAGACATCTTTTTCAATAACTTCAGTAAGAAAATATTTGATGATGTATTGATATTTTGGACGATACGCGTCTGTCTGATTGCAAAACAGACGATAATTTTTTGTTGCCGTTTTTTTTTTTTTTTTTTGGGTGGGGAAATTGGAAGCTGCAGGCGGTGACTCCTTTTAATCAGAGGATATTATCCTCAGTCAGAAATTTTTTCTTGGTCGATTAAGAAGATGCTTTGTTTTCTGGCTCTGTGGCAAACTAACTTAGTTTGCCATGTAAAATAGCATGTTACTTTGAATGTTCGACTTACAGTGTCGAATTATTTTTATTAGATAGATTTCAATTATAACTTTATAATTTGTAATATCTGATTTTATTTAGGGATGGGAAGAAGAAATATAAGTTTTTCGTTTCGGGCGACTCTGTAGAAAAGATTTTTTTTATTAGCTTCGGTAGAATTCCGAAGCTAAAATTTGTTTACTATAACTTGAGAAAAGTTATAAATTTGTTTAAATATAACTTGAGAAAAATTATTTTGATTTGACTTATAAGGCCTATTGAGGTATTGACGCAAATATAGAACTTTCTTAAAGATAACAAAGGTACTTTGCGGCTTATAAGTTTTTGAGATTTATTTCAACTTTGTCTAAGAGACATTTATTTGGAAGAGGTAATTTTATTCCCAAGAAGATGAATTATTGCCTTTGATTTGTTTGTATTTTTGATTCGGGGAGTCAACGTCTTTTGTTTTTTGTTTTTTGGCAGAGTTGTTCGATGCGAGGAATTCTTCCCCATTCCCGTTCTCTATTTACAATAAAATTTTAAAATATTTTAAATAGATATTTATTTTAAAATTTGATCTTAGCCTGGGTTAGGTGTTGTGTTTTCGATTTTTCCCTTTCAGCTCCAAAGAAAAAGAATTTGCGAAGAAGAAAAAGAAATGTATCTGAAGAAATTATCTATCTTCTTGTAGAAGAAGAGAATTTATTTACAAGTTTTTGTGTCTGTAAATAAAAAAAAAAGAAAGGTAAAAAATATTTAAGTTGTCAGTTTAAAGAATAATACTTACTTCAGATTGACAAAATTATTTAAGTAAGTAGTAAATCTTTTTTTTTTGTTTATTATTGTTTTGTTGCTGTATTTTTAGCATATGGAACAATATGCATGAAATTGTTTTTGTGTTAAAATAAAGATTTTATCTGTGAACTTTAGATTTTGGTCTTATAATCTAAGATCGTCTGCTTCATTCAGTTATTTTGTTTTTTACAATCCTATGAAGAGGCCGAGAACAAAATCGGTAGTTTTTGAAAATATATATATAAAACTTAAATTTAATTGAATTAAATTTTAATAAGATTTTATTATTTTGATATTATATATATATAATTGTATATATTTTTTGTATATATCAAATTTTATATGATATAATATTTTTTTCTTCACACTATTTAACCAAAAACATTTTGATAATGTAAATTCTCTGAGAACTTTTCCTCATAACAAATATAAAACGTAATTGATGCAAAACAGAATTACTCTAAATTTAAAAAATAAATAAATAAAAATAAATGAGGTGGTGGTGGAGACTTTAACTTGTTAAAAAAGGTATTTACGAATTTTTTCTAAAAAAGAAATATTTCAGAAATAATTTCATCAATTTCTGAATAAATTCTGAAAGTTTCATTAAATATTCGACTATTATCTGATTTTTAAAGAATTTTCAAATTACTGAAAAAAAAACCCCAAAAAACAAAAGAAAGAAAGAAAAACTCTCAAATCTAAGGTTCCGCTTAGACGTTTTAAAACAAGATTTTGTAATCAAAATTCCCGGTTTCTAAAAAAAAAAAAAAAAAAAAAAAATTAAAACAGTAATTTTTACATAAATTAATTCTTTAATTTTTCCTCTTAACAATGCCGGAAAGATTATGATAAAATTTTATTTTTATTATGTTTTGGGCATTTTTTCCATCAGGTATCCTTTTGTAGCAAATTATTATATAGATTTCTATCATTATTCTAAATAATTGATTATTTGATGTTGTGTTCGCTATCTTTCTTTATTCAAATATCCAATGTCTTATATTGTCAATCGTACTCACTAAATTGTAACATTTTGTCTTTAATTCTTGACCTCTTTTAACGCACAGTCATTATGCTAAAATCTGCTAAAACAGGTTTTACGCAAATTCATTAAAGTTCTGACATTAATCAAATTGTATTTTTTTTTTTCGTTTTTGTCCTCACCAAAAGCTCATTGTCCACATTTTGAAAACAAAAAGCCTAAGCCTTAGTGTGTGTGTGTTTTGGGGGGGGGTGTTGAATAACAAACTTACCATATCAATATGAATATCATGAATAACAAAATAAACTTAACATTTTATTTTGGTGGGAAAAAACGGAATTCTCTGCTCCATATTGCGAATTTTTCTTATTTCAAACTTTTGACAAGCATGAAACACTTCGAGTAAAGCTGATAGCTTGACTGATTTGGAAACCAATTAAAATGAGATACGACACTGACAAAATGGTTGAAATGTTTTGATTCTTCAACATCAAATTGCTGTTAAAATCTGAATTAAAATTAACATCAGGAATTTAGTTTTTATTTAGCGTGAAAAAAAAACTTAATTTCAAATTATCGACGTTCACTTTTGATTGAACATAAAGAAGAAACCTTATTTTTATTCAGCACCAGGATAAAAGACTGATGTCATGCGGGGGAGGTGGCAGCTGAGCAATTATAAAAAGAGCGGGGAGGTGGCGGCTGAGCAATTATAAAAAGAACGAACATCAATACGAAAACTAAATGTCATCAAGCTCGGCTTCAGTTACTTGCACAGCACCGTAAGGTTGCTGCCCTGTGTCTTTTTTTTATAAATACTTTCACGGTAACTGTTCAGATGTGCTTTTCGCTATGAAATCTAGACTCTTTGAATTTAAGCACAGTACTAGATTGACATCGAGATCTCATCAATTTAGGGCTGAGCTGTCTAGATGTAGCTGTAAATTCTATGCTGTTTCTTTTCTCGCACGTCTCGCCTGTGGAACTCCCGGCTCCATGCTTTCCGGTCAACTTTGATCTGCAAAAAATTAAATGTAATGTCAATCGCTATCTACTATCCTCTTTATTACTCTTTTTCTCTTCTCGCTCATTATTGATGTTTCTGTTCCTATTTCTTCCACACCCAGTAACCCCTTATGTCTTAGTGGCTTTACTGCCTTGCATGGGGTGATACCGATTAAAAATAATTACGATCATATGTAAACCGTTAATTTGGATTATTTTTATTTTAAAAAGAAAATTCTTCTTCTCCATATATTAATTAATTAATTAATTCTTTTCTATCTAAACATTTTCATTTTAGTATTGATTTTGGTCTTCTACCCATTTCCTTCTATCTCTCTACGTCGTGTTCATTCTCGTCTTATGATCACATCTGTGTAATTGCAATTACGGTGGTACTTCTTAGCGAAGTTTCTAACCACATGGTCTGATCCTACTGCAAGCCCAGGTTCCGACAGAAGTTTGGGTAAGGTAGAATTTGTTCATTTTTTTTTTTTTTTTAAATTTCTCTTCTTTCTCTATAGAAAAAAAAATGACTAAAAAAAAAAAAAGCAAAAATAACTATCAGCATCTCTACGATTAGTGTAATGGCGAACATTCCCGTCATCATGTATGCGTGCGAGCAATTGCGCATGCGCGAAACTCTTGTCCGCCCTTCGTTGTCCGACGGTTTCATGAACCTCGTGGGGGTCACACATTATGGTCTTTAATGACTTGTAATATGAGACATCGCATTTCAGGGCCTGCGGCTGTGTTACTGACAAATTATGCATTTCATTTTATATACGAGCGACTAGGAAACACGGCACTGGAGACTTTTTATGGAGTGGCTGCATGCGAACGCGAGGCGCCTCTGACAGCCAACACCAAAAATGAAATGGACGCTTACTGTCGTCTGCTGAAGCAACGGTGGTAGCCACATGTAGTAAGACTAGAAATGAGGGAAAAGGACGCAATAAAAATATCTTCAAAATAAAAGAACGCCGTGGTTATCCCATGCGTAACGTTGCAATTGCTAATCTTCATGTTGTTGATATTGTTATTGCTAAAATAGTGATAATTATTTTGTTGCTTTTTGTCCTATTCTACTTTCACGATCTTTTTTTTTGTCGTCTTTTTTGAGAAAATGTTTTCTCCTTTAATTTTTATTTCGTCTTTCTTTTTCTTTCTTTATCTCGTTTATTTCACTCAATTCTTCATTTTTTTTCTCTTCACTTTGCCTTAGTGTTTTTCTTTTCTGTATTTTACACAATTCTTTTACGCTTCCAATCGATTTCCATTTCTTTCGCCTTTATTTTTACACATTATTTCTCTCGTTTCGGCAGTCTTCGCCTCTTATGCGTTTTTAGAATTAACTCTCTTCTTCTTATATATATATATATATATATATATATATATATATATATATATATATATATATATATATATATATATATATATATATATATATATATATATATATATATATATATATATATATATATATATATATATATATATAAAACTAATTCTTTTTAGGTATCTTAATTTCTTAAAGAATGAACTTGCTTCTGTCTTTACTTAATTTATTCTATTTATCTGTCTGTTCATATCAGTTTCTTTCTTTCTCTCTTTCTTTCTTTCTTTCTTTCTTTCTTTCTTTCTTTCTTTCCTTCCCATTCTGTTTATCTATCTATCTATCTATCTATCTATCTATCTATCTCAGTTTTTCCTTTACATGTTTTTGTCTCTCTTTCTTTCCTCTTGTCTCATTCATTTCCCTATCAGTAGTTTCAATTTGAAAGTGTATCTTCTTTTCCCGAGTTCTTTTTTTGCGCACGTTTTATTCGTTCACTCATTTCCACTTTATTATTTTTCTTTCTTTCTTTCTTTCTTTCTTTCTTTCTTTCTTTCTTCTGTTTCCTTCATCCTTTCCTGTTTATTTGATCTTCAAATCCTATAATTCTTTGAATTTCCTCCTTACTCTTTTAGTTCCCATTCCTCTTCAAATCTTTTCCTTCTTCTTCTCTCATCTTTCTAACAAATGAAACCTCGCACCGGTCACAATTATTACACCAACAAAACCGGTACCGTGTTTCCTTTCTCGACTCGACACTAGCAATTCGTGCTTTACTTATAACCAAATAGAGTAGGATTCACTTTGTTAACACCGGGCGTTTTTTTCTTTTTCCCGTCTTTCGGACGATGACATTCTAGTTCCTTCTCGTCCCTTGGGAAGCGCTGACCTGAAGACCACTTTTTTCCCTCCCAAAGACAACTGCAAAACCAATCTAGTAACTCAATACCAGACTCAATCCTGTTGATGAACGAGCCGAAAATAATTCTTTCCCAAGCGACTCGTCTTTCCTGGCTGCAAATAAATGCTACGGCGTCGAGCATCCGCCGATGTTGGCCGCCCGGCTAATTTACGAACTGTTTCGCAGTCAACGAATGACAAATAAATACACTGTTAACAAATTCAGCCCGTCATCGAAACCCAACAGCAATTAAAGTGTAGAAATCAGATTGTTTGGACGTGTCCCGAGCACCAAGGTGAAATGATAATAGCAATAATAATAATAATAATAATAATAATAATAATAATAAATTCATAACAAAATATTGTAAAAAAGTGAAGAGTAAAACAAACTGTAGAATCTTTAGCCAATGTTTCTAAGGCATAAGGAAAACCATTTTTCTTGGAAGACTAATTTTCATTATAAGAATGATACTGTTTAATTGTATTATGTGGAATTGAAAATGGAGGTTTAAGTAAACAATATCGTAAGAAAGATATCAAAAACCCGGTACAAATGGGTGATTTTAAAATTTTGATTTTTGACAAAGAGAACTGAATCCCTTTATACGAATGAATACTCAGTCATCATATCAGACTTGAGAAATATGAAATATATGACATACACAAAAGGAAACAATAATTAAAAAAAAGAATTTGACACCCACGGGAAATATTAAAGAGACAAGGGACAGAAAGAAACACTACAAAAGATGGTAATTTTTTTTTCAGAAGAGACACAGTACATAGAAGAAGAAGAAGAAGAAGAAGAAGAAGAAGAAGAAGAAGAAGAAGAAGAAGAAGAAGAACTCTAATAATTTCGTCTTTTAATGTCACGTGATTGCGGAACAGCAACAGAGACCCTCTGTCTCCGAATAATTTCAGATAACAGATGTTCCATCTTTCTTTTTCATTATAATATTTAACTTCATATTCTTCTGCTATGTGCCGTGTTCCTTCAGTACGTATGCGATCATGGCTCTCCACAATTTCCTGTCTTTGTAGCTGTTAATAAATTTTGTCTTTTTGTTATCTCTTCTAAACCTAGTCCCACAATCCATTTAGATCTTTAGATAAGTTATGTATCATTTTCCTCTGTCCCTCTTCACTTCAATCTGTCGTGTGAGTATCAAATTTTCCAAGCCCTCTTTCCTCATTATGTACCCTAGAAATTTCAACTATCTCTTCCTGGAGTTAAGTATGAGTGTCCTTTTCTCTAAAATTTCGTCGTTGTTCAGATGTTTGTTCCATGACATTCTCAGTCTGTAAAATAACATTTCTGTTGCTTCAAGTCTCTTCTTCATCTGTGTGGAGATTGCCTGGCATTCAGTGCCATATAGAAGAACTGATATTGTATAACAGTTCAGTACTATTTTCTTTGTTTCTGTTGCTTCAAATCTCTTCTTTATCTGTGTGGAGATTGCCTAGCATTCAGTGCCATATAGAAGTGGTATTGTTCAGTACACTTTTCTTCGTTTCTAACGAAAATTTTCTGTTTCTTAATGCTATGCTTAGCTTTTCCAAAGCATCTTTCATGATTATTAATCGATGTTTATCGCAAGTTACACCGATTTGCAATTTAATTTTAGGTTTTCGCATCATAGATTCAAATAATATTGTACAGAATTACAACACATGATCTTTCTGAGGGGAAATTCTTTCGACAAATAAAAATAAGTTTCACGGTTTAAAATTTAATGAAAAGAAAATTTAATGAAACGAAGATTTATTTACATTATGATTTTTGGAAATGGTTGTTTAGAAATGTAAGTAAATAAAAAAAAATAAATCAGATTAAAATAAATTATTCAAAAATTGATAAGTAATTGCAATTAAAATTTAGTATTTATTAAAACAAAGTATTTTTTTAAAAAGATTTTACGCATCTGGTAGTGAAAATCACCAATAGTTCTTTTTACAGAAAATGCGAGAAGTTCCTAACGTAGGAAAGTTTCTGAATTTCTTTTACTAAACCGGGGGTTGACTGGCATGGATCGCGATAAATTTGTTTTAATGAAAGATTATCACGATTCAATAAGTTTGGAAAAATCTGATGCCGATAATGCAGAAAGTAAAACAAGTTATTTCCATCATACAAACTATAATGGTACATGTGAAGAACTAAAATTGTTTTAACGAATAAAAAAGAATTTCCCCAAGACTTTGAAAATCGAATGGGTCAATCAATCCAGGGCAGAAAATCAGGTCACGTGACATTTTGTCAAACAATAGATTTTTCGTATTCCATCAGATCAAAAAAGTAAAATTAACAGAAAGTGAAAAACTGGAGGAATATTTGTACATTGCAAGAGAAGTGAACAAAATGGGAAAACATGCCAGTGACTGTTGTGTCGATTGTTATATGAGTACTTGTAACAATTCTGACAAAGCTCGCAAAGAGATTTGAAGAAACTGAAAAACAAAAACAGTCCAAGCGATCAGTTTGCAATACTGAAAAGAGTATTTAAACTTTCCAATACTGAAAAGAGTATTTAAACTTACTTGATCTACAGTAAATCCAACAATTTTTACTGGTTTGAAAACTCAACGAGATAAATAGTTATAATAATAACAATAATATAAATAATAATAATAATAATAATGGTTAAAAAACTAGTCTCATTGACCATTTATACTAAGTATTGGCTTCTATTCTAACTGGGATCCTCATACTTGTGTTTCTGTACCAGACTAATATAAGCTTAGTATAACTTAGTATAAGACTAATATAAATTTAGTATAACTTAGTATAAGACTAATATAAGCTAATTATAACTTAGTATAAGACTAATATAAGCTAATTATAACTTAGTATAAGACTAATATAAGCTAATTATAACTTAGTATAAGACTAATATAAGCTTAGTATAAGACTAATATAAGCTAAGTAAATAAGAAAAAATAAACACATCAGCTAGTGGAGTCTGAAAAAAGATAAATAAATATCACGAGCAAAGAGCAGTGGGAGTGTTGTGGAATACGATAGGAAAAGTAATAGTCGTGCTAGTCGTTATTGTGGCACTGGGAACAGTCTCGGAAAAGAGAGGAAAACGACGTGTTGTCCAAGCGGCAATGTTGTTGAAACCAAATTATTGAAGGGAGAGCTGGAATATTAAGAAAAAATTTTGCCATTCGATTTTCTCGTCTAAATTCTTGCAAACAATCATCGTTACAATGATTATAAAATCGATTCACCTTTTTTTGATTGACGTTCATAAAATGTGCAGCAGCCTCAGTTTCGAACACCAATATTCGAAATGTTAACTTCTTACTTTGGTTCGCTTACGAACATATCTCGTTTAAAGTTCTCGTACGATAACCAAAGTTAAGCAACTTCGAACTTAGTCAGTACCTAGATGGGAGACTGCCTAAGAATAGCAGATGCTTTAAATTAAAATGTGTGTAATGGAATAGGAAATCAGAGAGCTGAGTTCCAATTCGAGTCGGATTCATTATATTCACATGAGAAAAGTATGAATCTACCCTCAGCTATGGGTTAATTAGTAATTTTTGTATCAGTAAAGTATTATTACCAAAGAAAAAAAAATTATTAAGATTTAAAATTTTTTTCTGGTTTTAAAAACGGCTCCCTAACACACATTAGCGACACCGAAATTCGAAGTATTGGAATAGCGAAAGTTGCTTGCCAAAAGTTGAGCGAGGTATTAAGAAACGTTTAAAATGCATAGGAAATAAAGAAAAGAGTGCTGAACCTTAATGCAACATCGATCCTCTTATATGACAATGATTGTTGGACAATGTCCTCACAGATTAAGAAGAGACTTGAAGCAGCAGAAACAAAGAAAAGAGTGCTGACCTGCTATGCAACATCGATCCTTTTATATGGCAGTGAATGCTGGGGAATCTCCACACACATGGAGAAGAGACATGAAGAAGCAGAAACAAAGAAAAGAGTGCTGAACTGTTATGCAACATCGATCCTCCTATATGACAATGATTGCTGGACAATGTCTACACAGATTAAAAAGAGACTTGAGGAAGAAGAAATAAAGAAAAGAATGCTGAAAATTTATGCAACATCGATCCTCATATATGTCAGTGAATGTTGGACAATCTCCACACACATGGAGAAGAGACTTGAATCAGCAGAAACAAAGAAAAGAGTGCTGAACCTTTATGAAACATCGATCCTCCTATATGGCGGTGAATGTTGGACAATTTCCACACACATGGAGAAGAGAAATGATGAAGCAGAAACAAAGAAAAGAGTGCTGAACTGTTATGCAACATCGATCCTCCTATATGACAATGATTGCTGGACAATGTCTTCACAGATTAAGAAGAGACTTGAGGAAGCAGAAACCAATAAAAAAAGATGAACTGTTATGCAACATCGATCCTCCTATATGACAATTATTGCTGGACAATGTCCTCACAGATTAAGAAGAGACTTGAAGCAGCAGAAATAAAGAAAAGAGTGCTGAACATATATGCAACATCGATCCTCCTATACGGTAGTGAATGTTGGACAATCTCCACACACATGGAAAAGTGACTTGAATAAGCAGAAACAAAAAAAAGAGTGCTGAACCGTTATGCAACATCAATGCTCCTATATGACAATGATTGCTGGACAATGTCCTCACAGATTAAGAAGAGACTTGAAGCAGCAGAAACCAAAAAAAAAAGTGCTGAACCTTTATGCA